AGTTTGCATAGTCTTCATTATTCAAGTTCGGAGATTAGTGGACCGTTACCAGCAGGTGTTTGCCAGCTTTTGCATGCCGTGGTTAGTCTCTCGTTGTTGGAACGAAGTTTAAGGGAATTCGTGTTGTAACGTCGAAGACGTGTTTGGGGAGTTGTTATTTTTTTTACCGTGCGCTTCGCGTTAGTTTCCGGATTTGGTTTATCGACAGATTCGCGCAGTTTTCGTACACGTGTACGAGTGTATAAATAGTTTCATCTTGTAATATTTGTATTTTTATATTTTATATTTATATTTTTCGAAACAAAAAAAAAAAAAAATGTCAGGAAATCGACTCGACAAGGAATATTAGAAATCTTCGAAGAAAAATGTAAATTTGTAGGAAATTGTTTTAAGTAAAAGTTTTACGCTATGAATACTTTTTTTTTACTAAAAAATATAATACATATAGCATAGTAATACAAATAGAAAAAATTTTAAATTGAACTCAATATTTCCTCGTTAATTTAATTTTGCATACATGTAATAACATTCCACGTGACGATAACAATTATATATCAATAGTAATTTTTTTGTCCATTTTTTTAATTAAAAATAAGCGGGTATTATAGTAGTTTGAGTGGTAGAGAGAGGTCAGGGGTTCTGTGCAATCATCTTTATTCCATAGTCTCGAAATTCGTGGTAGGAGCAAAGCAGCTGCACTGTGATCGAAAGTAATTATATTAATTGCATTGCACATCCCCGCTGTTGCATGAGGTATTGGTTCGTCGCCTCATCGGTTAACGCGCTCTCGTGTGCGTGCACCACCCACAATATTTGTGTGTCGAGGCTTGCGTGTCGGGCAAGTGTCGAAGGGAGCTAAGTGCGCAATTAAATGTTAACGAATTAACGTCTGCTCGAGACGTCGTTGCGGAGGAATGACTTGTTAAATAAACGCGTCCTCTCTCCTCGAGTGAAATTCGAAGACTGAAAGTAAAACAAATTTGTACGAATCGAATTAACCTTTTCGAAATTAATATACTTTTCGAAACAATAGGAGGTTACGTTTCAAAACAAATTTTTACGTGGATTTTAGAATTGATTTATCGAGACGATATTAAAGACGGTAAAGTGAGATTATTAATCTTATTTTCAAAATCAGATTTAATTTATTTTTAATTAATTATTCATTATATTTTGTGTTTTATTATAACATTTATTTATTGCATATAAATAATTCAAATAATTTTTGAATAATTTATTATTTATTACGTTTATTGTAATTTCTTGACGACATTTTCTGCATTATTGATGAAGAAATTTTAAAAAAATATTAAAACGCATATAACGTATGATTTTAATATATTTCCAAAATTGTACGATAATTCGTATGTATTTATTTCTTAGAAGGTTTCGTTTAAAAAGTTTTTGTGAAATTCTAATTTTTACTAATTATTTAAAAAAAATTTCTCTCGATATTTCTATATCGTTAATTTAACATTTTGTTTCCCCGTAATTGGCATAGGAGCTTCTCCCACGTTCTCGATGCTCCATACGATATTGCAGTATTTCGATTCGCAAACAATGGGAAGGGAAACCGTGACCAAAGAGAACACGAATCCACGCACGGGTCTCAATGTTGGCCACCACACAGGCAACGCCCGTCATTTCCTTATAATTACTCTATTTCCTCCTGCGCCTATAGTTATGTCGTAGCAGCGGAATCGATGGTAGAAAACGGCAGATATTGGAACGCAACGTACGATCGTATGGGCGAAACCTGGGAGGAGGGGCACGGCTCGTTCGTTTCAAGATATCGAGGAAATGAATGGGATTGGCTGCTGGGCAAAATTGCACTCTGATAATTACCTATTAGCTGCACTGTCCCTGGCATCGTTCTCTATCCTGAAGAACAATGCCTGTCAGCCAATCGTGCGAATAATCACCGAGATCTTTCGTCCAATGGATAAGACCTGTGATTCCAAATACTTACCAGATATTCGTACATGTAGATATTTTACAAAGAGATAACGTAATTGCTTAGAACGTGCATAAGATAATCCGAGGTAAATATAGATTCGATATAAGATTCGTTTTAAATGATTATCGCAAAATTATTACTTATTAATTTGCATTAAAATTTCATTATATTATCTCCCCTTTATAGTTTAGAAATTATATACAATTTTTTACTTAAAGTAAATAATAATCGTTTCACATATTCTATCATCTATATCATTTCATTATATTTTAAATTCTAATAACAATTTCTTCTTTAGCAGACGAATCAAACTGTTTCTTGTAATCGATACAGAAACAGTTTACTTCCCTTCAAAATTCGATCATCCGAAAGATATATCCGTTGCGACAAAGTAAGTGGTCACGATCGATTCGAAAATCTCTGGAAAATCTCTCTCTCTCTCTCTCTCTCTCTCTGCACCCATCCATTTGCAAAGAGTAACTGGGAGAACTGGGTCGTGGACAGCGAGCCATCCTTTCGTCCTTTCCATCTTCCATCCCGTGCGATGGAGATTCCGGTCGGTGGTCGATGTTTATGCGGCCCATCGGTGTGTGTGCAGCAACAGGGTTAGTTGGCGGCCGAGTCTTTCCAGATAGAGAGACGTCTCTCTCTCTGAGGAGAGACTGGAAAGCCGCGATCCCTGGCGCGGACCGGTCGAAATGCCTGGGGGTTGATTGATTAGAGGGTACGTAGGAGAGAGGCCGAGTCGAGGCAGAGTTATACGGTGCGGGTTAGTTCGGCAGGGAGCGTAGGTTATTTGGGGGCGGTGTGGAGACGCGGCGTTGGTTCGAGCCGGTTGGGCGAGGGGGAGGAGGAAAAGTAGGTGGAGGAAACTGGCGGGCACTCGGGGGGAGGAGGTCAGGGGGGCGAGGAGGAGGAGGAGGAGAAGGAAGGAAGGCTGGAGGCGGTAGTTCGAGGTGCTACAGTTTATAATAGTTGCCACCGCCCTCGGGCCAACCGACCCTGTCCGCAACTTTCACAGAGTTGCTTAAACCTAACCTCCCCTCGGCCGCTGGACGATCAAGTCTAGTCCACCCACGATCCCAAAGAATCGAGGTTATTCGAGTCGCTTGCTGCTAACTCGTCCCCGTTTGCGAAGATCCGTTTCGATTGTTCGGATGGGTTTCCTGTTTGCCCGGCTACGCTCGCGGATGGGGGGTGTCTTCGCGCGATATTGGGGGCGCAAGTTTTCGGTTGCAGCCAATAGCATGGCGGCCGGGCCGGGCACGTGTGCCGTAGATTAGTTTGTAGTTCGTGGTCGAAGAAAAAGCGGAGTTATTAGCTGCGGTTAAGGGTCACCTGGCGGAAAGATGACGAGGTCAGGTGGGCGAGGGTCTGACTCTCGCTCACCTTCCTCTACTTTGACGTCTGTCGTTTTTGATCCTTGTTCTTTTGTGCTGTCGATAGGTTGATAGATGGAGATTTTCTTGCTTTTATTGGAGAATTATTGTCGTTGATGAGATCACTTTTATATTTTGTATTTGTGTACCTTTAGACGTAAATGTTTTTACATCATTTTTTGGATATAAAAATAGTATTTTGTACGAATTTATTAAGTTTATTATCATGGATATGGTATTATAGTTTAGAATATCGTTGCATAATTCATGTTTCGAGATTTTGCTTGCACATTATTTTATTTTGTTCTTCTACATTTTTGTAGAACATGAACAATGATTTACACAAATATTTGAAATAAGACATCATAAAATCTAATAAACGAGAAACAAATTCATTCACGTTATAATCTGCTTCTTGAAACATGTTAATGTTATTCAGAAATAATACATGTATACTTGTTTATAGATATTTGAAAAACAATATATTATTTCCTAATTTTTTAATAATCTTACAGTAGTTTTCAATCGATTTTCTTCTTTAAGATAAACCCACTCAAGCTGATCTTTACTTCTTCTTCTTCTTTGTGATGCAATGACGAAAGAAGCAATTTATATGTTCGCATACTCGAAGCTGTATACTGTGCAGTTTCTCGGTCCCGTGACAGCGGCCTCCGTTATAATTCTCCGTTATCTATGGAAATTCTAAACCGTACTAAACAACAATATATATCCCAAAACTATGTAATTCTCCGTACGTGTATACACAATATGCAATATGCGCTAGCAAGAGCTGCGATTCGACTACGATCTCGTTCGCTCTCCTTTCCTCGTTTCTTTTCGATTTGTTGATAATTAATTTTTTTTTCCATCCCCTTTTAAGATACAATTTTTTCCACCGCAATTTCTCAATGATACAATTTTTAAATTTTCGTATATTTTTATATCAACCGAGAACAGAACAGAATACGTAAATTAATTATTGATGAAAATTTAAATCTAAATTATTTTTTTATCCACGAAGCTTTCGTTTTGTACAAAAAAAAGAACATCAAAGAAATATCCTAGAAAATCCTCTCTCCTTTAATTATTTTCACCGTCCATTCATCTTCCCGTCCATTAAGGTTATCAATTTTCCAAGTCGGTTTCCTTCAAACGGTCGAAAGATTCACCGTTGATTTCTATTTATGCTGGAACGATGACGTTATCGAATACACGATCTCTAATTAAATAGGTATCTAGAAACGGTGCATGCGCTAATCAGCCGTCTCGAAGAGTTTTCACGGTAACTGGAGCACGGCCGGTCGATCCGGCGCGAAGAGGGGCAAAAGAGGCGAAGCTCGTGTGCAGAGACAGGAAGATGGATCGTTGCTCAGGTCCCGCAGCAATGTCCTTGGACGCTGTCTGTGCCTTAGGACAGCACGTAATCATACCAGTCCGCTATTACTTCCTATAACGCTATCTACGCCAGGAAACGCCATTGCTCGCTCGTTCCTACGTAGGTACGTGGTCCAGGGACGCCGAGGATGATGAGATCTGCAGGCTTGCATCCTGATGAGACTATTAGGATGGCTTGATAAGTCCATAATATTCTGGTCGATGCCGGGCAGCGCCGTCGAGTCCACCCGGTGTCCTCGCCAAACCGCTGCACCCACCCCCGCAACCCCTGACAGCCCCAGTACCACCGACACCAACACCCACACTACAACCCTCTCCCCCCCTCCCTCCTCTTTGAACCCCTCCTTCTCCACCCCTTTTACGCGGAGATATACGTGGACTACCTTCGGTCAGATTGACGACGAGATAACTGATGCTTCCCATCGACTTTGTTAACCTCAAACTCCGATCATTCCTCGACCCAGGAATCGTAGCTTTTGGTCGATGAAGGATTTTCCACCAGATTTCACGCCAATCGTTCCTTTGCTCCGATCCTACCTTACCCCCTGTGACATTCTACCTCTGCATACGTTCTATTTGTGGTCCTTTGAGCTTTGGGGGATCAATGTATCTTGTTAACGACACGTGTTCTTTCTTTTTTTTCATCGTTTCTCGCATCGACGATCTTTAATAATCTCTGAGATCGAGGTATTTTCCTAGCCGAGGCGAAAATAGGTGACTGAGAAGTTTGGAAGAGAAATTGGTATCTCTTCCAGTTGATTGAAGTACGTTTAAAATTTGTTTAACAATGACAATTATAATTTTATCGAAGGTTTTTTGATATATGTTAAGCCTTGTCCTTCTTTTTAAATCAATATTAAATTATTACACATCTCGAATCACTCGTTTATTAAATAATTTATAAATTGAAATTAGAATATAGAAATACGAGTTCATCCAAGGAAATAATGGAAATAATTATTTTTAATGTAAAATTGTCTTTTCAGATCTTTATCAAACTCATTTTCATTCAGTATGAATAATAAGCATTCCTAAAAATTCACGATTCCTTGGATGATGTCCTCGATGAAGTACGATCTTTCAATGTGTGGGAATAATTTTTTAACTGGAAATAAAATTTACTTTGACGATAATTTCTTGAAGAATTGTTTCAGAAGGATGAAACTCGAGGAAGTGTCGGGCCTCTGTTCTATCCGTTGCGGACGAATGGTCTGTGTCACCCTCTCGAAGCGGTTGGAAATTAACTTTGAGTATTACAGATGTCGAGGCGCGCCGCGGCGAGAAGCTAGCACCTTGTTAGTCTGACAAATTCGGTCCGGTTCCCCTTCCTCCACTTTGCCGTATAAGCAGCCAGTTCCATTCGCGGAGAAACACCGAGGCTGTTACTTACGGGACATCTATTTGTAAATTATATTTTCCTTCTTTGATACAAGCACAGGGATCTTTGCTTGATCCGTTTAAACGGAGTCCTTATCTTGTCCTGTACAAATTCTGCTCCACGCTGAGTAAATTAGTCGGCAGCTTGATTAAATGTAAACTCGACTTAATATCTCTTTTTTCCTCCTCCTTTTTTCGCGTTAAACGCGAAGGGGAAAGTAATTTTAAAAAAGAGCTTAATCTAAAAGAATATATTAAACGTTTTTTCATAATTTAATATATTTTTTAACCGCAACGTGTATACTCGGTTTTCAACCTCTCGGGATTAATGTAATTTTATTGAGTTAAAAAAGGATCAAACGGAGAGTAGAACTTTTTCCAATCTTTTTCTTACTACTTATTAAAGTGGAAACTGTGCGAAAATAATAAAAACAACAGATTTCTTTTACCATATAAGAATTAGATTTACAAAGATTATCGATATCACTACAAACTTTTCAATTTCCTCCAAATCTATCGAAATGAAAGATTAAAAAATTAATCCTCAACGAATACATTCTATACTGAATTTGTCTTGAAATAAAAAGAAAAAAAAAAAAAAAGAAAATACCTCAATCTTAATCTCGGTTAATCCGTTAATTCAAACGTAGGGTAGCCACCCCCTCGAAGGAAAAATCCCCTAATTTATTCGAATTGATGCGTTGGAGGTAGGTGTCGGAATGCCACAGGCAGCTGGTGTCCCGGCTCTGCCGTTCGAAATTGGCGAGAATGGAATCTCGAGCAGTTCCAGAAGTCACCATCCTTGCGGAGGGTGTCGATGGTCGGCGGGACGGTGTTTGCTCGCTTAATCGGCCGACCCGGGGCGCCACCCCCTATCCCTTCCCTCCCCACGTCACGCCGAATGACTATCGGAAAGTGATATCGAGGATTTCCACGGGCACACTTCGGTATTGCACGATTCCATGCCACTTGCTTTGTTTCGTGCCCACCTCGAAATCGAGCCTTTGCCACCCTGCCGCGAAAATGGGGTGACCGAGGAGCGGGATGAGGAACGGCCGACGACTCGATACCCCTCCCCGCCCCTCCCTCGTGAGGGTAATAGAATTGCATGGCAGAGGAGTACCAATATCCGGCACGGCCTTGTCGGCGGCGTTTAATTGCGTTAGTATTTCATCGCGGGAGCCGACCAGACTTTTCGATTTCGACGTATCTGGGCGGACGGATCTTTGGATTCTGGACGAGTTGATCTTGGACTCGACGAATTCTTTTGATTCGTTAATTGGTTGGGACGTGAAGTTATTTAATCGTTTTGGAAAATGATTAAATAATGGTTGGATTAGTATCTTTCTTTGGGGGTTGCAAAATTTAAGATTTTGATTATATTTATTGTATTTTTGTGTGTTTCTTTTTAATTTGATTTCAAAATATCGAGACGAGGCTCATTTTATCATTAAATTATGTTTATTTTATCTTTGCTTTTTTTAAAATGTGTAATGTATATGTAATTTTGTTGCGTTTTAAATAATTATTGCTCGAGATGACTTTGTAATAATTATTCTTTTATGCAAAATTGTATTCGCATGAACATTGTATTTTAAATTCATTTCCAATGAGGCAAATTATTATTAAGATGCAGTAGAAATAAATTTATTGGAAAACTTCCATCTCTTACGTTCAAATACATATATATTCAAACGATCGCAATGGTTGGTTCACCTTATCCGATCGGAGAGAAAATCAAGTTAGGCGAGATTCAAGGCTATGCCGAAAGCATCAGTCGAGGGTTACAATCCAGAGAAAATGATGTGAAAGCTTATGAAATGGTGGTCTAGTCCGTCGAGATACCGATGTACACTGTGTTCCCAGCTAGCGTAGAGATAATAATAACCAGGGGGTAGTAACAGTCGGAGGTTTATCTTCTCAGAACCATAAAACTAACCCGTTCTCTACACTTGATGACCAGCGTACCGTGGATGCTCAAAGTCTACAGCTTGTTTCAAATCTCCTACAGAATTCTCGCCTAGAATAGAGATCTGTAATGTTGTTAATGTTCTCCGATTACCGCACTTTTACGCTGCGTTGAAGATTTTAATTCTCATGGAGGAAAAGCCAGATGTTAAATGGTAAAATCTTAGATGATAATATATGCAAGTAAGTATTTGAGATAAGGATTTAATTTTTTAAGAGATTCGTTTGAAATTTATATGTGATTCGATTCTTTATTATATTTATTGGGTAATTTGTTTGAAAAATATGATTTTAGAAATTTCAATATGTGTGTTAAAGTTATATACTATACTACGTTAAATTAGTTGTTATTAATTTGTAATTAATTATTATTAATTTGCATAATTAAATTAAATTAAATTCATATTTATGTAAGAAAATAACGTTTTACATTTATTATTGTAGAATGTTCAATATACAATATGTATCTATATGTTTCGTGTTATGAAAACATGTCTCGGCAGAGAGCAAAGTTATAACGTAGTTTAACTATGAAATTAAACGGATGATATGTTTAGAAGTTGAAAAACACATCTGTTATGTTATAATTATAATATATTAATGAAATATAATTACATAATATAAAATTGGATTGTAATTAAAATTTCAATTTTTAAAATTCTTTTATCGTTTTCCAAAAAGATTTCCAAAAAATGTTCATTTCACTCGCCAAGTTGAATCTACCAAGCTATTCAAGCAAATTGATTATCTTCAAATTTATTCCAACGATTATAAAAACACAAAAATATAACATGTAAATTCTTTTCTACACAAAATTGATATTACACAATTATATTTAAATACATTTGAGCTTATACTTGTGTACAACAGTTTGGATCGATTGATTCTAAAACAATGCATATAACCAATACAATAAGACGTCCAATAAGACGGAATCCTATCGTGAATGGCGATGGCGATGGCGAACCTTAGACAAGGTATCGAGTATCCTTTCGAGGCAGGTTGATATTTCGGGGGGCGCGTGTACAGGGCGATCGTAAATTGTAAAATCTATCAAGACCAACGCGGTCGACATAACTCAGGGGGTTGCTATCCTGGTGGTATGAAGCATGGCGGCCAGACTCGGCATAAATACCCGGTAGCAGAACAGAGCAGGAGCAGAGAGCAAGCCCAGACCCGTTGTGGCGTGGCAACATCATCTATCTCGAATAATTTATTATCGCGCGACTACCGCATCCTCGAAATCCGGACAAGAACGCAACTATAGGAACTGCGAACCGGAAACGAATGTCGTGCATCGGGATCCTGGACGCGGCTGGCTCCGAGATCCACGAGATCCGCGTGGAAAACCTTGACGGAATCGTCTTGGCCGTATTGTCAACGATTCCAAGTGTTCCATTATTGTGAACAAGATGTTTCGAGGAGATCATTGTCACGTAGAAGAAAAGGAAAATTTGAGAATTTGTTGGCTACTTTTTATACGTGGCTCTTGTTGAATTTATCATTTTAATTCAACGCGAGGCTCAACTAATGTTTTGCATCTTAAAATTAAAACGATTATTAGTTTCAGTTATATCTATCTTAAAAAATTAGATTTATTGACTCGTTTGATATATTTTTTTTACAAAGATGATGGTTGTTTAGGTTTTTACGTAATTTTTATGAAATATCTTGGTAAATTGTAAGAGTGCAAGCTTCTTGGATATTCAATGTGTAATATCAAAATAATGATAAAATATAATAAATAGATGTAAATATAATGATTATTATAATAAATTTTTGGCGAAAAGAGAGAGGAGAAATTTCAGAGATTCCTCGAAACCGTGTAATAACCATATATCTTTGTACTATCTTCCCTTTTTTATTAGAATT